GTGCAAATATTCTATACCAATGCTTACAAGTAAAATCCACATCCTTCATCCAGAAGTCAGAGCACTGAGAGCTCAGGCCCTTGCCTAAACGGAGGAAACCACAAGAAAAACAATACCTGAATGAATCCCCCAACAGCTCAGCAACTGGTCACTGAGCCTCGGAATCAAGTCTCTGTTCACTAGAGCAGACTTCAGCTGTGATGATAAAAATAAGTGTATTCCAGTTAACTACGGATATTAAACACATGCACTTATCTCCTCGTTCTCCTAAAAAGGATATTAAACAGCTAGGCTAGTAAGGACTATGTGAGGCTGGAAGTGTCCTTTGAGCCCATGTTTTTTAGTACATTTTCATTCAAACTGGAAGAGAGAAGCTTGGAACATCTCATGCTCCCATCTCATCCCAATTTTACCTCCTAACTGGCTGTGAGACCCCTCTGGGTCTCAGCTTCCTCCTCTAAATGATCTGAAAAATAGTGAAACTTGAAAAGTATTGATGAAATTCCTCACTATCTCTTACATAGGCATGTATAGCAAGTAGCACTTCAGCAAGTAATGTCAGGTGTATATCCCTTGCAAACAAAACAAAACAAAACAAAAACCCACATTTCTTTCCGCACACAAGGACAACTATAAAATCCACTATGTTTTGTTTTGTTTCCTCTGTTTACTTTGGTTGCCAAGAAGCAGAAAGCTAAATATATCTCACATTGAGTGACTCTCCCATTTCACACTTCTGAAACCATTTTCTCTCTTTCCCTTCTCCTCCTTACAAATGGCTCCTAGCAGTCCTGTCTTTATAGGAACAGCTTTTTAAAGTACATTGTATTTATGTGAATAAAATGAAGTTCTCTTGGAAGGTGCCTGGTAGACATTGTAAACACACACACACACACACACACACACACACACACACACACACACACACTCACACAAATGAAACAGACAAACTCGGTTGCTAGGTAACTTGCCAAGGTCTTCAGGGGAAGCGATGCTCCCTCACCTATAAGACTGATTCTAAAGGTTCATTATAAATGCTTTAGCTTAGTCTCCAACACCCTTAGCGATGTATCTCAAATTCACCTGCTTCTGTCTACCATTGTGATACTTGTGTTCTGCCAACATCAATCAGGACCAACCAAGGCCCAGATACCTGTTCTCAGCGCCCCTTTGGCCACTTATTTGCATCTCATAAAGGATCAAGCGCAGAGTAGGTACAACAAATCTTAGGCAGATGAATTCCTTAAATCAACCATTATGGTTCTGAGGAAGTCCCTGGGCCAAGCGGTGGGGAATGGCAGTACACAGACAGGAGACTAAGACCCAGTCCCTGCTCATAAGAGGTTCACAGTATGACAGGACCAGACAGGAAAGCAGGTAAGTCAACCAAGCCAGGAGGCTGATACAGAGAGAGAGAGAGAGACAGAGGGGCTGTGGGGCCCCAGGGAAAGGATGCTTTACTCAGTTCTGGGGAACTTGGCCTGATGATGGGCTGACAATCAGGGCATCTAGCCAGAGGTCCAGTCTCCAAGAGATGTCAAGATTTCACAGGGATAAATTAGAATTCGAGACAAAGTGTAAACATCTCTCTCCCTTGCAGGTAGAAGTGAAAAAAATACAAACAAAAGTAAGATAGCAAAAAAAAGTTCTTTCTATACGTGCCCGAACACCACCCCATATTGAGCCAATATTGAAACAGTACCCATGGCAAAGGATGAGCGTTATTACCCAGCACCTGGGGAGCTGCACTTCTCACTCCTGACCCCTGGGGGGCGCTCAGAGAAGACTTGCTGAAGAAGGTGATGCCTGCACCAGGACTTGAAGATGAAACAGATGTGCAAGCTAAAGGGCCAGGGATAAATAGGGGTCAGTGGGGTACAGGAGAGGAGGAGAAGGAAGACAGAGGGAACAGTGAAGCCCAGAGGCCTAACCCAGGAAGAGGGACGTAGCTGGAAATGCAGCTGGGAGGGCTGGACTGGGAACAGCTTCTTTAGCCGTGTTAATGGCGGAACTTCATGTAACAATTATTCACTGAGCACTTACTGTGTGCCGGGCACTATTCTGCGTGCTGGAGGTAGAGCACTAAGCACTATTCAGTAAGTGAATAACGAAATGAGATGGCTTTATACCTGTTAAACTAATTATAACTATGGTTTCCTGAGTGCTTAATTAAGTGTGCCAGCCCCTCCCTATGCATATATAATTTCATTTAATCCTCACAATGGTGCTACCATCACTTCTGATTCTACGTGAAAGAACAGAGACTCAGATAAATTGGGTGACTTGCCCAAGACCCCATGGCTAGATGTGGCCAGAGGCCAGCAGTGACATCAGATTTGTCTCCACTGGGACTGGAGCCACAAGGCCTGGGTTTGAATCTGGATGCCACCACGTACCAGCTCTGTGACCTTGAGTAAGTCAACGAGCCACTCTGTGCTTTGTTTTCTTAACAATAAGATGGGAATCATAATGGTATGTCCTTTGCAGAGTTGTTATAAAAATTGAATGAGCTGATATATACAAAGCACTTAGAACAGCCATGGCACGTAGGAAGTGCTTAATAAATGTTAGCTGCTATTATTAACCTGGCTGCAAACAGATTTATTAAACCTGTTCCTACCCAGGACACTTGAGAAAGGTCATAGAGCTTTGAGCAAGTTGGGAAGGTCCCCTTGAGGAGGGCTTGTTTTGTTTTCCCTGCTTAATTCAATAGCATCCCACTTCTCTCTGGACCAACTTGCTCACAAGTACCTGTTAATAGCTTTCATTGTTTACAGAGCTTCTAACAAGTGTGGGTAACTTCTCATTTGCATCCTTAATAGACAATTTCCAAAGCATGTTGAAACTGCAGCTAGTTTTAGGAGACCTGGGCTTTATTTTCTTTTTCGTCCTGTTTATCCAACATTTGGATGGGCTTTAACAAGCTCACACCACACTCTCACCCATTCCATCTTATTTGACACTTTCACAGACCTTTCCCCCGCGGAGAAGGTCAGTTCATCCTGTTTTTCAGACATAAAAACCAAGAAGCCAAGGGCATCCGGTCACTAGTGAATGTCATTAGGATCACTCATTTTGGTTACTTTATTTAACGATCACATACAGTGCTAACTGTGCAGGACACTGCTCCAAAGCACTTGGCAAATGTTAATGTAAACTGTAAGGTAAGTAATGTGATGCCTTTAGTCCACATAACATCATTAGGGAACTTGCTCGAGGTTATACGGCAAGGAGGCAGTGAGCTACATGCCTAGTCAGTCGTAGGACCTTGGGCATGCTACTTCACCTTAATGGGGTAGGACCTTGGGCATGCTACTTCACCTTAATGGGGTAACACGTGTAAAGTACTTTGCCCTCTTCACAACCAGCATTATATTCAGGTAGGTATTATTAAAATTTTACAGGTGAGAAAATTGAAGGTCAAAGGTCCTAAGAGGCTTGCCTTAAGACTAAGAGAGAGTGGTAGGGCTGGGATTAGAATCCACGAGATCCCCCATAGGGTGCTAGGGATGGAAGGTGGTAGTAGTTTCTGATGTCGAAATCCATTATTGCTGTGCCTGCTGCTGTTACTGTTGTTATTTGCCCAGAAGAACACCCACCCCCAGCTCCCTAAGTACACAGAGAGACAAATAACAATGATGAGGACACAGCTGGTTGTGTATGCAAGGCTGCAGACCTGAAGCCATGCATAATTTACTCAACACTGCCCTGCAGTCACTTAAGCTGAGCAGAGACCGCTATAAATTCAGGTCTGCATATCCTAATTTATTTCTTATTTATTTTACTGATACATATCTAGGGCCTCCAGTGAGCTGCTCCAACACCTGCTGGCAGGCACCTGCAGCCCCGAGTGCAACGAGGGCAGGAAAGGAGACCCTGAAAGATGCCCTAGATGGAAAAACTCGACTTCATGTATGAGAACCAGGCAAGTTAAATTAATTTTCTGGTAAACTGGAATTAAACCCATGCACATTCCCACCTCCTTTGTCTGTGAAATGTGGGACTGCAAAGGTTGTTAAATGGCTTGTTCTGCTTTCCTATCTTAGTAAAGAAAGCATTGAGCATCCTTCTCCCACAAACACAGGGTTATTTTTTAGAGTCACAGAAAGTCAAAGGATGAACAAACGTTCTAATACGAAGACATCATCAGAAAGGGAATGAAGAGGAGAAGAAAAATAGGCTGCTATTCTGAGTGATCACTGAGGACCCAATGCTATGCTAGGTGCTGTCAACGGCGGAGGTAACTCCCACCACAATCCTCAACATGGGAAACAAGGTAAGTGAGGAGAAACATGAGCCATGATTACCCAACAAGCTCTTTTCACAGGTGATCCACCTGCGGCCGGAGAGAGAAAGTGACACTCAGCATGTTGGTCCCATCATGCCTTTCCTTTCGGTCGCATTCTAATTTTAAAACTCAGTTGGAGTTCTTCATGGGCCAGATGCCGTGCTACAAGCTTTACCTTCATTGGTCTCTTTCCCCCCTTCCCTCCTCCAATTAATTGTCTTTACAGACTGGGCAGTAGGGCACAGAGAGGCTGAACATTGAACTCACGCTGCTAAATTCCTGCAGAAATCAAGTTAGAAGCCTGGGCTTAGCCTATGCTCTTATGCACCACACCTGAAAGTTTCCTTGCGCCCACCTACAAGATGCTTGCTTTTGTCTCCAAAATGCACTGACCAGGACAGCAGGGGTAGATGCAGAAGGGGCAAGAGACCACCAGGAGGAAGATCCTGACCCTAGGATGCAGCCTGGGCATGGGTTCCATTTACCATATTTATCAATCAATTATTTTGCTTCCTTCATGCATTCTTCTTTCTAACATCCAACAGAAGGTTCTGCTCTTGGCATTTGCCCCCTTGGGCTGAAACAGGAGAGGCAGAAAGGCCATTTCACTGAAGGACAGGCCTAGCATGGCCGGGCTGTCGTGCCTGGCCATTTTCCCATGCATCTCTCGCTACGGCGAGGGGACTCCTGGACCTTGGGGACCGAGACTCACCCGCAGAACATGAAGATGGTGCTGGAGGTGGCATCGTAGGGCAAAGGCAGCGTCTGCTGCAGGCACAGCTGCTCACAGCCGCCGTTAAAGCCATCAGAGCAGTCGATGCCTTTGGAGTGGTCGTAGCAGCCGGAGCCATCCTTCATGGGCTTCAGCTCCTCGGGGCACTGCTCGGAGAGAGGGCGACAGGGTGGTTATGGCTGAGGAGGTGGCGGGCCCCATCACGCCCTCTCCTCCCGCCTTCTGAAAGGGACATGTGTCAGTTACCAACAGAGACGGGTCGAAAGTCTCCTTCGGTCACTGAATAGCCCTGTGGCCTTGGACAAGTCCCTTTACCTCTCTGAACCTCAGTGTACCCACCTGTAAAATGGGACTTTCGTGACTATCTGCTTATAGCATCGTAAGAATGAAGGGCGGTAATGTCGGCAAGGTGCTTAGAACACTGGCTCACGTGGCAACCATACAGCAAACGTAAGCTGCTGTTTAATATCGCCATTGCTGGGGGCATCTTCATTATTATTTTTATGGTTATTGCCCAATAGGGCCTGCTGCTGTAAAGGCCATGTAGGGAGGCAACCAGATATGTTTTAAAGAACCCCTACCAATACGAGTTTTAATCGCAGCTCTTTCCCTTCTCACTGTGTGACCCAGGCAAGTTACTTGCCCTCTCTGAGCCTCAATGCCCTCATCTATGAAGTGGGCATAATACCTACACCTATAGATGACCTGCTGTGAAGCTCACACTGGCTCCTGTAGGTGCATACTTTACTTCAGACTTTGGCACATGATTGGATACTCATAAAATGTGAATTATTATCATTTCTGTCTTGAATTGGTGTCTCCGTCTCCACCCTTGTCCTTGCAGCCCTAAATGAGATTCCTGCACACTCACAGAAGGAGCATGCGAAGGGCTCCTACCCGGTCTGCAGGCCTCTGGTCTGGGCTTCTCAAAACCATCCTCCAAGCGGCCCCTGGAGTGATATTTCTAAATAGCACCACTCCCCAGCTGAAATAAATAGATGCATTTTTTAAAACTTGCATCTTCCTTAAGCTGATAATCAAGGTCGTCCCTCTACAGATGCTTCCAAACGCACTGCCTGGCCACGTGCACGTCCCTCCACGTGACTCTTTGGTCCCCACGCAAATTCCACGGAGTCCACCCTTCAACGGCCTCAGCTGGGAGGCTCTTGACAGTGTGTCTGGCACCTGCTAAGCACTCTGTAAATGGAAGATCACACACTGTCGGGATAGCTGGCTATTTATTTAATTTACTTTTCCATCATTTGATGGTGCTGAGCTCATCTTCTCCAGCCAGGCTGACAGAGGCCGTTCCAACACTCCTGCCTTCAGAGAAGAAAATGAGGTACTCGGTTTTAATTTCAGTGCTCCTGCTGGCATTTCCTGTCCTCCAAGATTAACACCCAGAGCCCAGCCCTCCCCATCCATCACTGGCCATCACTGATGAAAATGCCTTCCCGGGGCGCCCCCCCAACCCCCACCCCCACCAGCCAGCCGGCTCCCTGCTCCCCTCCCCAAGCCGTCGTCCTGGCCAACATCAATAACAAAACAAACACACAAAAATTAATTTATAAAAACCATCGCAACAACAACAACAACAACAAAAGGCCAGCCCTCTCGGAAATTAAATTTTGCCTAAGAAGAATTTGTAATTATAAATGCACGAGAGAGTTCTTCGAGACATTTGAGACTGGCGCCAGGAAGGGTGACGGGGAAAGTCAGTTATAAATGGCCTTTGTCAAGCTGCAGAAAGGTTATAAAACTGCTACATTTTGTGCTTAAAAAGAAAAATCAATTTTCCATGTGAGTGAAGAGCTGTATATATTAATATAAGCTCGGAGGAGGGCCCTGCTTGTCTCGGAGCATTCACTGTCAGACAGGAGGGCACCTGGTCGCGGGGTCATTTGGAGCCATTTGCTGGTTCTGGGGACGGCTGTGTCTGCCTGCAGAGACCCAGGGACCAGGCTGAGAGGAATGACTGACCTTAGCCCCAGGCACCTGCAGACACCCGTGGACAGGGCATTAGTCTCACTTCTTTCCAACCCCCACTGATTCTCTACTGCTTTTGTTCTTTAAAAGAGCGTTCACTACACTCCAGGTATTGTCTAAGCATTCACCTGTTTTGACGCATTTAATCCCTCTAGCAAAACACATGAGCTGGGGTGGCAGGCCGATACTGGCTCCCTGATATATGTCCCTGTCCCAACCCCTGGAACCTGGAATCTGTGAATGTTACTTGTCTGGTACCATTTCTGCAGGTGTGATTAAGTCAAAGCTCTTGAGCAGACTCTCCTGAATTTTCCAGATTGGCCTAAATGCCATCCCAGATGTCTTCAGAGGAGAGGCAGAATGAAGTTATGCAGTGAGGAGAAGGTAATGTGGAGGTGGCGTGATCCTTGGAGCCATGTGGCCACAAACCACTGAATGCTACAGCTACCAGAAGCTGGAAGAGGCACCGATTCTCCTCCTCTAGAGAATCTAGAGGGAGCACGACTCTGCCAACACCTTGACGTTGGACTTCTGGCCTCCAGGACTGTGAGATAATAAATTTCTGTCGTCTTAAGCCACCCACTAGTGGCCATTCGTTACAGCAGCCAGAGGGACCTAGTACAGGGAGGTACGATCATTATTCCCATTTTACAGCTGAGGAAACTGAGGAAGGAGTCACCTAGTTTGGTGGTGGCAGGAATGGAGACTCTCAGGCTTTCAGATAACGTGGCTCTTACTTCCCTCCTGGGCTAGTCACTTCACCCACTGTCACTTACTGAATGATAGACATCCAGTCCTAGGAAGTTGGAGCAGGAAAGGGCTTAGAGCTGACCTAACCTCCTTACTTTAGAACTGAGGCCCAGAGAGTGGAAGGACATTGCCCCAAATCACTCAGCACATGATGGAGGGCGCAGAGCCAGGCCTCCCGAGCCCCAGCTTGGTGCTCTCTGCCCATCGTGCTCACTTTCTTCTCTTTCAATTAAGGCATTTTGCAGCTGAAGGCAAACTTACACATCCTTTAGTCTCTTTCCCTAGGATGATTTACAAACGGTCAACTGAGTCTCAGAAAGGTCAAGGGACTTGATTCGTATCACACAGCAAAGTAAAGGCAGAGCTAGAATTATACCTAGATTTGATCTGTGAACGTGGGAAGGGCATTCTGAGCATGTGAAGTAGTTTTACCAGTTTCCCCCCTAGGATCATCCCTTCATCCACTATGGACGTTCACGCCCTGTGTCCTAGAGGACAGGTGGGGGAAGAGGGGATCTAGCCCTGCATTACTATCATTCGAGATCACTTGTATATTATTTCAATTCTTTCATTGCGTATCATCTGTCTCCTCCACCAAAATGCAGACTTTATAATGGTATGGACCGTGGCTGGCTTGTCTTCTGCTGTCTGGCACATAGTAGGTGCCTGCTGTGTGTTGAATGAACCGGCAGAGTGCCAAACAGGATGTTCAGTGTGTCTGTGTATAAACTTTGGGTCAGAATCCAAACTGCCTTTTATAATCTGTGTAACCTGCAGGCAGTGACTTAAACTCTCCTATCTTCATATGATTACTGTGAGGGGCAAACAGTGTGGCAGCCAGCCTCAGAGATGGTCCCAGTGATTCCTTGTGTTAACACTCTTCTGTAGCCCCCTCCATACTATGCCAGGATTGGTCTTTGTGACCAATAGCATACAGCAGCAGAGGTGGTATGAGGTGGTATGTGGCTTCCAAGATTAGGTTACTAAAGAATGAGGCTTCCATCTCTCTCTCTCTCTCTCTTTCTCTCTGTCTCAATCTTTCTCTCTCTCTCTCTCCTTGCTCTAGTGAAAGCAAGCTGCCATGTTTTCAACAGTCCTGTGGAGCAGAGGGATCCCGAACCTATGATGAGTTGTATAAATATTTCATTATATATTACAATGTAACAATAATAGAAATAAAGTGCACAATAAATGTAATGCACTTGAATCATCCCAAAACCTTATACCCCTCTCTAGTCCATGGAAAAATTGTCTTCCATGAAAAAAGTCCCTGGTGCCAAAAAGGTTGGGGACCTCTGCTATGGAGAGTCCCATGTGGCAGGGAACTGAAGCCTCTGGCCAATAGCTGGTGAGGCTGGAGCATGCCAACAGCACCTGAGTGAGCTTGCAAAGGAATTCTGCAGCCCCAGTCAAGTCTGTTCAGATAACAGCTGTCCCAGCTGCCATCTTGACTGCAACCTTGTAGGGACCAGCACCACACGCCTAAGCCACTCTTGAATTTCTGACCCTTGAAAATTGTGTGGGATAATAAACACTTTTTGTTTTAAGCTGTCTGATTTGAGGATAATTTGTTACACAGCAATAGATAATTAATACAATGAGATAAATGTATGAAGTACTTAGCACAGTGAACAGCAAATGGTTGCTACTGTTATGGGTATTTTTAAGGAGGTGAGAGTCAAGCTTGCAAGACAAGAAATATACACACCTGTCAGATAGAGAACAGGTTACAGAACAAAGAAATATATAGCATAATTTGATCGGAGAAATGAAAACTCTGCACATGTGAGTGACTGGGGCATGTCAGAGCAGGGAGGTCCCAGTCAGGGAAGCTTTCCTAGAGGGGAAGAAGGGAGACATCTGCTGTACCAGAAAGAAGACCAGAATCCCTGCCTGGGCACCACCACGCACTTGCCTCAGGACCTTGGACAAGTCCTTGAACCTATTTGGGCCTCAGCTTCCTTTCTCTAAATGGGAGAAACAGCTTAGAGACAAGAATGTGAAGACTGAAGTCAGACCTGATTTCCAATGCAGGCTTTGTGACACTCAGCGTGTAGGCAGGATGTGTTAGCTCAGAGAGAGCCTCAGGTTTCTCATCTGTAAAATGGGAATAATGATGCCTGCCTTGGAGGCACTTCTGGAGGCTCTATGAGAAAACACACCTAAAGTATCTGGCTCCAAATCAGGCATATAATTGGCACTTAGTAAATGAAGGATAAAGGAATGGGGACAAATAAATAATAAATAAGAGGACCCAACTTCCCCAAAACAAAACCTAACTGAAACTATTGGCTGATTTAGTTCTTCATTGGATCATGTAATAAATATTCATTGAACACCTACTCAGAGCTAAGCAAATGTTCCAGGTGCTGGAAATGTAGTAGCAAACAAACAGACAAAACTCTGCTCT